AAATAAATAAATAAATAAATAAATAAATAAATAAATAAATAAAAAGCCTACCTCCCTAGTTTGTCCCTATTTTGAACCATTTTCCAATAGTATGGATGCTACTCTAGGTTTATATTAGCTTAATGTCAGCTGTTGCCAATGTTCCTCACTAGTGGCAAGGCACTCTCATAGAACATTAAAGTGGGAAGAATTGGAGCTGAAGAGATGGCTCAGCAGTTAAGAACACAGGCTGTTCTTACAGAAGACCCAGGTTTACATCCCAGCACCCACGTGGCAGCTAACAACTGTCCTGTAACTCTAGTTCCAGGGCATCCAACAGCCACTTCTGCCCTCTGCGGGCATTGCACGACACGGGTGCGCTTACGTACATGCAGGCATAACACTTATACACATAAAATAGAAATAATAAATAAATTATTTTTTAAAAAGTGGGAAGAATTGTGGTGGTTTGAATGAAAAATGTCCCATCTAGGCTCATGTAGAGAACACATGATCTCCTGTTGGTGGTGCTGTTTAGAGAGGTTATGGAACCTCTTGCTGGGGAGAGCATGCCCCTGGAGCACAGGCTTTGAAAGCTTATGGCCTCACTCCACTTCCACTACACTCTCTCTGCTTTCTTTATGTGACTGAGTGAGCATCCTGCTTCACCTGTCTGCTGTCATGCCTCCCTGCCATTATAGACTCTCCCTCTGGAACCGAAGACCCAAATAAACTCTTTCTTCTTTAAAATTGCCTTTGGTCATGGTGTTTTATCACAACAAAAAGTAACTGATAAGCAGATCTTGAAAAATATCTAGTGATGTCTGTTCATTTTTCAAATGAATGAACTTAAAGTGAGAGATGAGAAGGAGAGGAAGAAATACATATTTCTCTTACCTCTGTTTTTTCATCTGACTAAAATTTTGTTGTTGTTGTTGTTTTCAGACAGAGTCTGTCTATGCAGCCCTGGCTGGCTTGGACTTACTATGTAGACCAGGCTGGCCAGATCCACCTACCTTTGCCACTCAAGAGCTGGGATTAAAGGTGTGTGCAACCACATTTGGTCATATTTTTACTTTTAAAAACCTTTATTGTCTAGCTTAAATCTTTCCATATTTCTTCTAGTTATTATTCAGTCAAGCTAAGTTATTTATTGTCTTTATCTTATATGTATGGTATGAGTGTTTGGCTTGAAAGCATATAAGTGCACCACATGCATGCAGTGCCAGCAAAGGTCAAAAGAGTGTGTCAGATCTCATGGAACTGGAGTCGTAGACAGTTGTTAGCTGCCATATGGGTGCTGAGAATTGACCCTGGGTCCTCTGCAAGAACAGTCAGTGCTCTTCACTGCTGGGCCATCTCTCTACCCAAGCTAAGCTATTTTAAACCCACAAATATCCCATGAATGCTCACCTTTCTCTCTTGCATTTACTTTTCTTCTACATGGAGCATGTCTTGCTTTTCTTTGTATTCTCTTCCCTTCCTGACCAATTTCTGAAGACCTCCTATGAGACTTGTTAGATCATGGGCCTACCACTTTAAAACCAAATCAGTCCCCTCTCTGGTCTGGTCTGTCACTTAAGAAAAGAATTGACAAGTTCCCTGATGTTCTGAACCCTATCTCCTAGGATATAACAGGAAGTTGTAAACAAATATACTTTCTTTGTTTCTGTGATTGGATGCTCCTTGAAACTGGCTTTGAGCTATGGCCAGGTTCACCACCCTCCTGGGAAACTTATAAATGCTCTCTCCCTAGGGCTCGGTCTATATCGCTGACTGGAGCAATCTCTCTCTCTCTCTCTCTCTCTCTCTCTCTCTCTCTCTCTCTCTCTCTCTCTCTCTTTTCTCTCTCCCCCCACCCCCCACCTTCCTTCTCTTCAGGACCCTGGTCTCCTTCAGTCTCCTTAACTCTTTCACCTTAAGCTAATTTTCTTCATGTTTCTATGTGCTTTCCCCCTTCATGGGCCTGTCATTTGCCTCTGGTATGATGTACTGTCCCTCATATTGCTCAGCCACATCATGGCCCAATGGTGGCATCCATGCTTCTGTAGGCTCCTCTTTCCTAAGGAAGCTCAGTTTCTGAAGGTCAATTTCATGTTAGCTCATTTCCCAAACTGAACGGCCACTCACTCCTCTCTTCTCATTAACAAGGCTTAACAGAGATCATACCTGTCCTCTCTTTGAGAACCATATCATGAAATTTGAAATGAAATTTCAAATATATTTTTAACTCGTATTTTTACTTTGGTCTTTTTGAGACAGGGTCTCCCTGTAGCCCCAGCTGGCCTGGAACTCACAATATAGACCAGGCTGGCCTTGAACTCACAGTGATCCCTTTGCCTCTGTCTCCCGAGTTCTGGGACTAAAGGTGTGCACCACCACACCCAGCACAAATGTATTTTTAAAATAATGAATATAATAACCTGTGTTTTTAAATTATGCTCTGCATGTATCATACATTAATATTTATAAAACTAGAAAAGAAATGATAGAATCACATTTAAATGAATAAGTATACAACACCAAGTCCAAATATATTAAAAGCTATAGCTAAGCATGGTGGTGTATAACTGTAATCCTTGCACTTAGGAAGCCAAGACAGGAGAAGTGTGAGTTTCAGTCCAGCCTAGGCTACATAGGCTTTGTATCAAAAATAAATAAATAGGCCAGGCATAGTGGCACATGTCTTTAATCCCAGCA